AATAATAATTTGAAAAATATAAATTGATAAAAATACCCCCCGTAAATTTTCAGGGGTACTTTGATCAATTTATATTTTATAAATTATTTTTTTATATTTTTATTAGATTCTTTTATTTTTTATGAATCTACACTCCAAATTTCAAATTATTTCGATTTATAGAAAAAATAAAAAATAAAATTCTACCAAACAATTATGATCATGCGATGAACTTTGGATGATGATGAGCATAAACGAAATCACTGTTCATTTTTACGTATAAACGTTGCGTGGTGTTTTTACATATATATATATATATATATATATATTCAAAGAGTAGTGTATGAGGGCCACTTAATAATTTATTTTTAAAATCCGCTAGTATCGGTCTTGGACACACCGAACAATTCTCTTTGTTTTATATAGGAGTAGTATTATGTAGTATATGGTATTAATAAAGTTCCAAAAAGGCTATTGGGTGTACTTCTAACCATGAATAAAGTCCTAAAAACACCCTTTCTATAACTTTATGACACACCTCACCTTGTTTCAATTTTGATGAATAAAAATGATTGAGACTTGCATCAAAAAGTAAAAAGTCATGCATTATGCAATCCCTTGGAGAATAGCACAGATTAATACAATAAAATAAAATAAAAAGTGACTGACAGATGAACTTTAATTTTTTTTTCTAAAATATGAAATGCTTGTGGAAATTACACAGAAGATTTGCTAACTTGCGCTTTTTTTAAAAAAAATTACCTTAAAGCTTGGGGCACTCTCTTGCTAATGAAAAAATAAAATTAAATTCAGTTCAAATATTCCATCTTTAGATCGAAAGGCAATTTTGAAAGAAAAAAATAGTTGATCGATCTTTTTTGTAATTCCCACTAACATTTTGCATTTTAGAAAAAAAAAAAAGATTTCGTATGGAAATCACTCAAAAACATAAAAATAAAGAAAGGGAGAGAGATTAAATTGCCTTGAAAACTTCCTCATCATAGACACCAGGCGACTTTTGCAAGGCTCTCCACCCTCCATCATTGAAGCCCCAAGTCCTACAAACACTGAGCCCAACTGAAGACGCTTGCTCAAAGAGGTCACTAACTTTCCCTCTCGTTGACTGGTCAACCGCAAACACCATGAGCCAATAAGTGTTGAACCCATTAACATAGAATGCCCTATCTTTCACCATGAATTGGTTCCCTTTTCTTTGCACCATTGCCCACTCTTCATCTGCACTGATCATTTTATTGGAGAGAGAGAGGAGAAACATAGTTAACAAAACAGTTTTAGAGAGAGAAAATGAGGGGGGAGTACGGACTAGTCCTGACTGGGAATTCATGGTTGGTGCCCAAAAATTGTGGAGGAACTCAGCCTTTGGGGGCATATTTATAAGGAGTAGAGTTTCTTTTTTTTCTTTTTTTTTAATCTTTTTCGGTGAGGAAGAGGAGAGAGAGAGAGAGAGTTGAGTATAGAGATGGCAACAGTCAGGCCGGACCCAGACCTTGAAAAATTAACGGGACCCAGCCTGAGGTGTCCAATTTTTTAACCCATACTCAGTCCCTGGTCAGATCCTGGGTCCATTGCCACCCCTAGTTGAGTGACATAAAAGAGTGGAGTTGGAAACGAATTATCTTTAAAGCCAAGGCAAGAAGTCCTATTTACAATGTTCCTCCCTTAGCTTAGAGGAGAGGTTTTTCTATGAATTTATCTAATTAATTTGAGAGAAAAAGACGTTTGTGTCATGAGAAATAGGCTCGAGTCTGATAAGCTTTCCCTTTAGAGGGACTGATTTTGTCGTAAAAATGAAATGCCACCAACCTGTAGAGGAAGCAAATGTAAAGTAATATTTATATTCGGTGCGGTTCCTATAAGGCTGCAATCTCACACAATCCAACTAAGGCGCACCTCTAAATTTTATCATAATATATAATTTTAGTATACGAAATTATTAGGATTATTTGAAAATCTATTTTTATCTCTAATTATAAAATTTTAAGCTACAAAAATAGTTAAAATCAAGTAGATCTATAAACATATGAAAATCTTTAAAATGGACGGTCGAGATAATTTGGTGCAAGCAGCACTATTTTTATGGCTCAAAATCTTTTTTTCTTTTTATATTCATACATCTCAATAGCGAGCTGATTAATTAGAGGGTTTTTCAACATTAAAACAACAGATAGATTTTTGAGGTTCATCTTCAATTCTACATTTTAAAATTGCAACCTTACGGAAACTTTCTCCATTTATATCTCCCCCTTGACACACACCCCTAGTTTTGGGGAGAGATACTATGGAAAAACTGCATCAAGCTTAAATCTGTCACATGAGCAATAGAAAAGAGGTTTTTCTTTTCTTTTTTTCTTGGGAAGTAATTCATCAAGAACGGGTCATTTTCTTACCATAAGAATGAAACTCTGGACATCATGTTGTAAGGGCCCGCCACTTTAGCCATCTAACCTTGAGCCCATTCATAATAAAATCAGAGTTTGGTACTCTCTCTCATGAAAATTGTGACATCGTTTTTACGATGTAAAAATAAAAAATAAAAAATAAGAGTAAAGAATTTATATATATAGTAAAAATTAGGAAAAATATTTAGAGTTAGAAAAATAATTAGAAAGCTAAAGAAGGTTA